TTTCGAAAATAGGTGGCTTGATTTATTTGTCTGCAAATTCGCTTTCTCAAAAGGCATTTTTCGGCATTTCGGCCTGGGGAAACAGCCTGACCCAACTACTTATGGCCACTTCCGAGCGAGGTTCTTTGAATATGACTAAGCTGCCGCATTCATCAAACATTTTTTTTTGGGTTCTGGTGTGGGTTCTGATTATTCCGATTGGATTGGATTGGAGTGTTGGGGGTTTTCATCGAAGCGGTGATCTCAAACACTTGGCTGAAATCCAAATCCATTAACTGCTGGTTCCCAGGGACAAATGCTTGTCGATGTGTGTTTTTAACCTAACCTTGGAACTAGAACTCAGGTGACTTTTCCTGGCTTATTGACAGGCCAAGGAATTTATAGAGTCCGATAGAAAAAAATCGTTTTACAACTTTTAAAGTAATTAAATTCTGTTTAAAATCTTTATTATATTTTTATAATTAAAGCTTAAAAACATGTATACTTTTCTTTGCTTACTATGAGATATTATTTAAGTACAAACCTCCAATAGAACACTTATCTGATGCTCTATTTTTTCTCTGTGCAGGCCAGAAGCCTTGTAAATCTCAGCTCCACTTTGCCTGCCAAATGTCGCGCAACGAGAACACAAAAAGCGAATCCCTTGCAGAACCAAAGCAAAGGCCCCGAGCAAGTGTTCAAATTCCATTAAAAGAACATTTACAAATTTGGCAAAGATCAGCGGGCAAAAGAGCCAAAGCCAAAGACATTGGAGCTGCAGCCCGAGGAGCATCCGAGAGCCGAGTGCTAAGCAGCAAAAAATCGAATCCGCTCTAAACTGGCGCGACACCTTCTTCTGCTTTTCGCCTCGAATGGGGGCCGAGAGTTGGGATCGAAAGACCTTGAGCACCCCGAGCTTTTGGCTCTAAAAATAATGCAAGACAAACAACAGCAAACAAGCAAACAGTGCAACAATGCAACGGGCAAGGAGAACAGAACAGAACAGAACCGAACTTTTGTCTCCAACAGCGTTTTCCCTAACAACCCGAGGTGATAAATAAAATTCTTTATATGCAATCTTTTAATGCAATTTACAATAAAATCAACATGGAGTTTAGTTGCTGGTTGTGCGGCTCTGGACGGCAGCTTCTTCCTTTTGGGCCCTCGCTAAATAACAAGGGGGCACAGCTTGATTTGACATTAGCACAATCCCACAGATCACCTTCCCAAAATGGATTTCGCCGCCGTCGTTTGTCGCTTCGTCGTTTATTCTTCGTTCTTCTCTCGATGGCCTGAACTTTTGCAGAAACGGAGAAACGGAAATGGAGGCCCAGCGAACCGGACCGGGCAATAAATACAGCATAGAAATGATGTACGGAAAACGATCGCGTCTAAGGCAGCCTCAGAAGATTCAGCCACAGCTCTCCCCTAGATCTTCAGCTCCTCTTGGCCAAATCGAGAATGGCCATCCCAGACATCCCAGCCAGCATCTCAACGGGGGTGCCTGGTTGACTGGCTGAGTGCCTGGGCGATGGCGATGGTGAGGCCTAGCGAAATTGGCACAGTGGTACCATCACAATGCATAATGGATAGGCCCTTTATTCAAATCGATGCCGCAATGGGCAATTAGTTACGAATAAAATGGCACAGCCACTGGAAACATCAAGTATTCAGTTGCAGGGGCGTTATTAGTGCCCAATACAATTTATTTACTTGGCCATTTTTTATATTTATATAACATTTAGCATTTGTTTCGTTTGATTAAACAGATGAGAGAACAGCATTTAATTTAAATTATGGAAATTAAGTAATAAATATTATGTCAAGGGTCAAAATTATTAAATTATATTAAAATCCTAATAGGTTTGTAGTTAATCAATAAATGATTGCATTTTTAAGGGTAAATGTAAAGCATTACTAAAAGAAAATCACCGAAATTATATAGATACAATTATAATTTCAATACTAATTTATATCAATAAAATAAATTGTATTAAAATTTGTTGGAACCTAAAAAAATATGTTGTTAGCTACCCAGTTGAATACTTCACATTTCCATTACAATTAGTGGTAAATAGAAAGATGAAAACCTTTAGTGTTTTGGCCCACTTGGAGTCACTGTTCCTGCCCAGGGTCTGGCAGCTGCCTAGATGCGGATGCTCGGGGCATCTCCTCCCTCCTCCTGTCTCCTGCCACCGATCCCGATTCCGATCCCGCTCCTGCCGCTCGTTTGGGCTACCACTTTGCGTCTGGAGCTGCTGAAGCTGCCGCTGCCGCAGATTCCGATGCCGAGTGGAGCTGGCGCGGCATTATTAATGATAAATGTGGCTTGCACTCATGATAAATACAGAGAATCGTTGAAAGGTATAAATCAATAATAGAGAAGTTTGTTTGCAGTTAGCAGTTAGGCAGGCTGCGGATGGAGCCGTGATTTTCAGCCAGCAGACAATGAGTTTGCCCGGGCATAATTCACCCGGGAGCAAAAGGTCTTCGTGTGGAAGCTGGCCGAGGGATCTGATTAGCGGAGCGGCCCAGGAGGAGACTTTTCTACTACTGCTGCTGCTGCTGCTTCTTCTGCTCCACAAAATCATGTTCATTAATTGACTAATTAATCGACAGATGTGCGGCCACAAAACAGAGACATAACAAGAGCCAATGCGATTATCAATAACAATTAGCCGACGCCTCTGCGACGGTCTGTCAAATATATGTACGCTGGTCCTCCAGTCTCCAGTCTCTCGTCTCCATCCCACCTTTCAACTTGGCTAGTTGCATTTGAATGCACGAGTTACGCATCCATCAAATGTCAATTGTTTGTCTTGGCTTGGCGCTCCGTCTTCGGAGACGATAGACGAAAGACGAGAGACTCGGCGCATTTCTCATAAATCATTCGAAAGGCTGCGGCATCGTCATCCCAGAATCGAATCCCTGACTCGGCGACGACGTCTTCTGGCTGTCAGAGGAGTCTTGGTCGATATGGAGGAGGAAGCTGAGGAGGTGGTGGGCCTGGCCCACTCCAATGCCCATCCAAGGCATCGAACTTGTCTAGCGCGATGGCCCAGCTGAGTGTCGGCCCTGTCCATCTTGAATTAGTTGAGCAGTCGCAAGACATTAGGTGGAGAGAATGCTGAATGCTGAGGAGGGCTAACTATATTAAGTTTGACTTTTAATGCATAGTTTCGGAGCATTTACTTCTCAAACAATCGCTCAAGGCCTGATTGAATTTTATTTTTAATGCATTTCTAGACTTACGGGTATCTAAAGGTGAATAACACTTATTTTAAGTGTCCTCTCACTATTTTTAATTAAAAATTCTTAGATAGAACATAAATGTTTATTATTTCACTGAACACGATGGAAAAATGAAAATTTATATTTTCATTTTAAATTAAATTATATAAAAAATGTTGAATTCAATGTGGAGATACTCATTTTCATTTTTCCATAGATTTTTTAAAATTATTTGTTGCTATTTCTTTTTTATGGTTGCTTAAACTTTTTTTACGAAGTTTATGAATTTAAAACTATCTATTACAATTTACTACAAAACATTTAAATTGCAACAAGGAAAGATTAAATTACTGCCAGAATCATTCCCATTAAAAGGACCACTTTCAGTCTTTACCTGCCATAATTTTCTCTGATAAAAACACCTAATGATATTAAGTTTAATTACTGATAGAAGCAAGAACTAAGTGCTTTTTTCAGCCTTTATCTGCTCTGATTCCCTTGCCTTTGAAGCACGTTTTTTTGCCAGTTAAGTTTTAAGTACAGCCCGAACCTCGACCCGCCTTCAACTTTGACTGCCCACGCATCGCCCCTTGCCCCTTCCCTTTCCTCGGAACTTTCCACGGACACTCACCTGACGGAGTCGGCAAACTTTTGCATAATAAAGCAGGTGCTTTTCCACCCCCAGAAGGGATCAGAACAGACCTGTCTGACCTCGGCGCCTGAGTCACCAGCACCATCGTCATCAGCACCAACCGTTAATGTGCTGGCGATTTTAGTTATGGCCAGTGGCCACCGCCAGTTGGGAGCTGACCAGCTGGGCAGTGTCCTTTGTCCCGTTGATAATTTAAAGCCAACGACCTGGCCAGGATTAAACCCACTGAATGGCAACTGTATTCTGCGCAAATCACAGAGAAAATAAATACAGGATTTTGTACTTACAGCAATGTCGAGATTGGTAAGCAGCTCTGGTTACATACTTATATTAAGCACACATAATATAATTTGTATTATCTACGATTTGGAGATTGTTAATAAACATAAAATGGGCCATAACATGCATAGCTTATTTTGTTGTAATTCTGATGAATAAATAATGTAATAAGTACTTGGAGCTTTATATAAAATTTAAGAATATTTAAAAAATTAATATTTAATATTACATGTGAATCATTTTATAAATGTAAATGTAATTACATATTTAGTTTCTCAATTTACATGAGAAAAAATTCGATAAAAATATGTTTAAAAATTTTTAAAGACCATTATCGAAATGTAAATTTTCTCTCCGTGTTGCAGGCACACTCCTTTCCACTTAAGCCCCCCAATCTCTTCCGATCCCGCCGTTTGGCAATCTGAATATTCATTTCAATTGTGCGAACTGCATCGGCGGTAAAAGAAAAGCCTGCACCATTCCAGCGGCAGCGGCTTATGGCACTTTCTTTGGGCCAGGAGAGTGCTTTCTGCTTTCGGCCGATGGTGGTGCAGTGGTGCTCCTAGCCGCTGGTGGTGGTGCCTCCGCCCGGTGGGGGACGACGACCCACATAAATCATTCACAATTAGATGCGGACGCAACGGCGGCAGCAGCGGCTTAAACACCTGACCGACTTGCTCCCAAACTCCCAAAAAAAGACTCCAAACGGAGTGGCTTTTCCCCCGAGTTCCACTCAAAAACCGAGTGGTGTGGCATGGGGCTTTGAGTGGACCGATTCCGTGGCGTTCCGCTCGTGTTCCACGGGCCTCGACGGACCTGTTCCCAGTGCGTGCCGTTCAGTATGTACTTGAGACCGGTTCGAAACGTTGCCAGCCGAAAAGTCAGCGGGCCGCGGACACACAAAACATCAAGACCAGCAACTCGCAACATTGGCAACACAGCAGCAACATTGGAAATACAACAGCAACATTAGTTTCCCCGAAAGTTTCAAACCAGGTTTCCGCTGTATTCGATTTGATATGATATCAAAGCTTCGATTTCAAGTGATTTTTTTGTGATCAATGTGCGATCGGCGGTTCGGGAATCTCCAACTCCAGTCGAAGAATGCCGCGTTAATTGAGCTGTACGTACAGCTGTAGTACAAATTTGCATAACCAGTGAGGAGGCATAAACAAATCTGGCCGCGGAGCGTCTTGGTTCACTGATTTAATGCCACAAACAGATTGCAGATTGTAGCCCGCAGCCGCGCCCCTCTGCAACTTGCAACTTCTTCTTCAGCTGGCTGCAACTTGTGCAGCAGCAAGCGACTAGCGACCACCGACCAGCGACCACCTTCACCTCCACCTCGAACTCCTTGCTGCATCTTGGTCAACCTGCTTGGAAGCTTGTTTCTGCGGAAGAGCTGCCGCCGGAGCGCCAGACCCGGCAAAAAAAGCAACAAAAAAAAAACAAAGTTAAAAAAAACGTAAGGAAAAACACATACAGAACAACACGGCCGTTGTCGTCGTCTTTGGAATTTTCTTTAAAAACAACGCGCTAAGATTTACAACGCGGACCCAGGCAAAAAGTGTAAAAGGCAAGCAAATGCAGCCGCGGAATAAAAAAATTAGCGCATAGTGAAGTGTGTGTGTCCGTGTGAGTGTGTAGTAAATACCTATGTGTGTGTATTAGCCAAGTGAAAAAATATATAAAAAAATAAAGCTAACCAACTAAGAGAAAAAGTTTGAAAAGTGTCAAGCGAGCGGCTCGGTGGCGGCCAATAACCCAACGACTGGCATGCAATTGCGGCCAGGCGACCCCGACGGGTTAATTACCGTTATCCTTGCAACACAACAACAACAACAGCAGCCACTAAACGGTACTCAAGTTGTGGATTACGTCTACGCCGCGTTGTCGCCGTGTGAAAGGACAACAGCAACACACTTGCAACATCTGCAGCATCTACAACATTGGCCATAAAAACCGCATTGAACACAAAGTCAAGTGAACATTCCAATTGGCAACGTAACGGGCTAATTGGCACCGACAACCGACAAATCAAAACGAGGTGAGTTTCAAGAATTCAGCATCTCTCGAATCTCCAATCAATTCGTGCCATGAAATTCCTAGTTAGTTAAGATTTTTTCCAGTCTAGCAGTCTCATTATAGACATTTCCCTTTCTTTGAAATATTTCTGGAAGTATTTACCTGTAAATGGTAAGGTCTTTGGACAAATCAAAACAATAGGGTTTTTTAGAGGCCCACATATTAGTTTCCCCCTTGATCTCTTCTAATTAGTTACGCTATTTACACTTTCGATTGTCCAGACAAGTCTAATAAGAATAATACCATTACATAAATTCCAAAATATGACATATTTGTACAAATAAAATGAGCTTTATACAAACGATTTTTGAACTATAAAATCTCACAATAATGGGATTATGTAACTTTCAAAATATGACATATTTGTATAAATAGTTAAATTGAGAAACCATTAGATATATCTTGTTGCTTGACTTGATATTGTAAGAAAAAGCTTGAGTAAGGATCAGAATGCATTTATTACAAATTCTTAAAATATGATCGTAGTTCGATCGCCTGTTCGATTATTCCAAGGTCATTCCAATTCAGCCTTTGGCTTTGCGGGTGGCGGTCTTGGTCTTTGTCTTGGGCTTTTTCGTCACCGATTGAACCTTGCTGTTAACTGCGTTCACCTTACCGTTCGCTTTATGCTTGCTCTCGCTCGTAATGACAATATTATTACCAAGACCCTTCAATGGGGGACCTTTTTTACCGGGAACATCGCCGATTTTGGTTTCTTGCATGAACCCCGGTCCTGGAACTACGGAATTCCCCGAGGCATTATCCAAGCCAGATGTGGAGGTGTTCACTGATATGGCACCGCCATTAACTACTATGCTATTCACACTATTCTCTTGTTGATTAGTTAGAGCGCCTGCACAAAGAAAAAGCAAAAGTCCGAGTGTCCAACCCATAGTCCGTGGCGATTCGATCGATATAGGTAGGAAACTTGGGCCTGATCTTACCAATACGAGTGTGACTAACAGAAATTTAAGGCTTTGACATTTTGACGATTCGCTATAGGTATATCTAATAATATGGTATATTTATATAGAACTACCATGACATTTGATGTATTGGAACCACAAGTTGTTCGACTTCAACTGTGATTCGTAAACTTCTTCGAGGAGTAACATTTCCTTTGATCTCTCTTCTTCGGTGCGACTTAAAAGCGGGCCAGGCTGTAGGCCAATTCCAGGGAAGTCCACTCCATCAGGCCGAGGGACCCATCGAGTTTTCCCAACTGCAGATACATTTGTGATGGCTGCAGACCGCTCGGCTTCGATTCTTGTAGCTTGTATCTCTCAATTTCCATTAGACGCTGAACGAACGGGTTCTCTTTTAGGCTCTGAAGTTCTGAAGTGAATTTATGTCGGGCCGCTAAACAATTGATGCTGAAAAATGATGGCAATGACAAAGTGATTACTGCCCGGCAGTGGAAAGCGACGAGAGAGATGGCAGCAATCGAAGTTCAAGTTGAGAAATAACATTTTCAATTTTCAATTGTGGGGCATGAGCTGATGCCTCGGAGGAGGAAAAGTGAAAATGAAATGGGCTGCAGACAAAAGCGGTTCATCATTAATCATTTAGTTTGTTGTTCTTGCAACGCAACCGAAAATACACCTATTTATACGTACATAATCGTCTTGACTGGGGCACTTCTTCTTCGTTTGGGGCACGTTCTTGATTTGAATCTCTTGCCTCCATACGCCGTCCCATTTTTTCCCGTGTTTGTTTCGTCTCTGAGTATTTGCCTTTGGTAAATTGCTCATCGTCATGCTTTTATGATTTGGTATATTATTTTTGAGAATTTGATGCGCTCAACTTGATAAGCCCAAAGCGCCCTGTGCTTTTCCACCTTTCCCCTTGGATCCCCTTACCCACCTGCATTCCTGACTTATTGTTGTGCTCCCCGGTGTACGTGTGTCTGTGTGTAGGTGTGTCCACAGCACCCAGCCCAAAACTCCAGAATTATTTTAACAGTATCCAGAGAAGCGCTTTTTTGTCGATCTCCCTTCCCCAGTAATAAAAAGTTTAAAGTTTTAAAAACAAGCCAGGTACAAAAAGTATTTGTTGATCCTATAAATACTCTACAATTAAGATATAGATTAATTTTATTTTATTTAATTATTATTAAAAAATATAATTTAAATGCCAATATAATCCTCACTTTTCTAAAAATATTATTTAAATACCTTTTTATTATTTTTTTAAATTTTTACATTTTTATTAACTTTATTAATTTCTATTAATTAGAAAACCTATTAAGTTGTTCCTAACTTGACATTTAATGAAAAGAAACCGTAAAATTCAGAAAACCCAACTCCATTTAGAGTGTTCCCAAACCCAAAACCTGCAAACAAACTTTGCCAGCTCCTCGAAATGCTTGCACATCAAACTTTTATTTACCATTGTCGAGAGCAGTACAGCAAAGCCCCCCGATAACATCCTTCTTCGCCCCTTTTCCCCCAAGTAATATCCAGCCCACCCTCGTTGCAATAATTTCATTTCGCTGTACAGTTTATTATATAATTTTTGTCCCTCTTTGACTTTTATCTTACGTTTATTATGCCCCATGGAATTTGCCGATTTCCAGACGCTGTCCAACAACCCGCTGGAGGTCAATGTCTCCGCCCATCCACCCAACAACCCACCACTCGAGCACATCCCTAAGATACATCCTGGCCCCGTGGCATCTTTAAGAGTTGTAATAACTTTGGCACAACTTTGGCCCGGCTGTTATATGTATGTACATTCGTGTCTCTGGCTTTCAGCTGGGACTTTGGTCCGGGGGCAAAGTGCTAAAATGCCTTGACGCATTCTTTTGCACTTGTTCTTCATCTCGGGGAGATGGGGATCCCCCTCCGAAGCTGTCCAAATGTCAGACTCACTCCCACATTGGCTACATCCAGGAATCCTTGGCGGAAAACGTCGACTTGTAATAATCATAATCGTAAATTTGCAAAAAGCTGGCCGAGCCGAGCCGTGTGTCCTGGCTGCTTTAGTCCTTGGGGCCCGTTTAGCATTTTGCGCGGATCCTACGAGGGGCCATTGCCAAAAGGGGGCGTGTCCGTGGGCGTTGTGTTGTAGGCGTCATCATCATTATTATGGCCCTGTTTTATTTATTTTTTTTTTCGTTCCTTTTTTTCAGTGGGTGTGCGCCTTGTGCGTGGTTAAATTGTTGGGGGCGAGTTCTCGCAGCTCTCACAGAAGAAACCGCCTCCTGTCCATCGACTTGGCGAAAGGCATTTAAAAAGTTTTCTAAACTTCATTTTGAAGTTTTATTACCAGCGCAGAATAAGATGCCGTGCAATTTCTTCCGCCCGCATTTCTCTATTCGCTCTTCTTTTTCCGGCTTGTTGTTGAAATTTGCTCTATTAAAATTCCGAGGCGCAGTTATGCCGGCACAGGACCTCGGTGCAGATGCCGCAAATGCCATCGTTCCAGGATCCACGCCCAGCGAGATCCTGTGGGAGGCCTGCATCTGGTGGAGCCATCAGTTATGCAGGTTGTTCCTCTTCTCCTTGCTCCTTTTTCTCCACTGCTTATCCTTGCTGGCGGCTTAGCAGCTTTGTCGGACTCAGCCAAGCAGCCTGAAAACCAGCATCCAGCTGCTGGAGCAAGCAGCAGCTAGGAGCCAGGAGCCAGGACTCTCTGGGTAAGTCTTAGTTATGTGGAACTGGCATTTATCTTGCGATAATAGCAAGTTGTGCGAGGCGAAGGCAGTGGCGGAATGCACAGGGATGCTCAAGGAGGTGTCTTAAAAATGAGATAGAATTAAAGATATTTCCTTCAAGGCAAATTAAGAGATTTATAACAAATTTCAAAGAATATATCTGATATAAATAAACCAAAATATCAATAAAAATCCTTAAGATAATAGTTTAGCTAGTAAACCCCCTTTAGCACGCCCCTGACTAGCTACTTTATCCACTGCAGCATATGCTGCCTGTGAATTTAACATTTTCCTTGCGCCAGACAAAGTATGCATTCAAACAAGTCACACGCAAAATGTGAAAGGATGAGGATGCAGGCAGCCAAGGATGTTACTCGAGGATGCTTAACCCCAAAAAACCCCCTTCTTAGTTTCGTCCTCGTGCATTTTGTCCCTAACGAAAATGTTTATCTGTGTAACTGTAAGCAGGATAAACGCACGCTTACACATGGAGACATGGAGACAGATACACAGATACAGATACAGATGCTGGGGCAGAAACTTGAGCTACAACAAAAATAGATCAGTTTAAGTACAAATGGCCGCCGATGCCACGCCCCCCTCCCCTTCTTCTTCCTTCGCCCCCTTTTCTTCCGCTTCCCTGTTCTTTTCTTCTTGATATACTTTTGCGGTTTCTTTCACTTCCGTTCGCTCTTTCGCTCCTTTCTTTCACACGCGCCCAGCGTCCATTGTTAAACTTTAATGCCAAAATGGAGGTACGGTGGTGGTGCGAACCTCGTGATCCAAAGGGGCGGGAACGGGGCGCCCCGAGGGGGGCGTGGCTGTACAAATTTCACGAAAATTGTCCTTGTTTCGGCGCACGGGGAAAACTTTATTTTAGTTTCGTCCTCTTACTACTTTGCCCAGATGGAAAGCGTTATTTTATTGAATTCTCCTCTCTTTTTTCCCTGCAGGTTGCAGGACCAAAAAAAAAAAAACAAGAAAAAAAGAAACCAGCTAACAGGGAAAATTCTGTTGCCACAAAAGTTTTTCGTTTCATTTTCCATTTTTTGCACATTTGCCTGCTCGATTTTCGTCCTGCTGCTTATTTACTTTGTTGTCCTTGCTGGTCCTTTGGTTACTATAGTTTTTCCTCCTTTTTCCTTTTAGTTTTTAAGTCCGGTTGTTGGTCTTACGTAGATTTGGTTTTGCAGTTTTTGTTGCATTAGCTGGTCGTTGAGGCGTAAAGTTCAATGGCGGGTTAAATGGACTTAATACCGGAACTTTTTAGAACTTTTCCCCCTTCCTCTTCCCCGCGGCCACTGCCTCCCGCAGGACCAAACTTTTGGCGTTGATCGTCCTGGGCAACAAAGTGAAAGTTTTTTTGTTGAACAGCTTAAAAAGAGATTGGCTTTCCTGCTCTTTCCCTCTCTTCCTATCTCTTTCTCGCCGGCCAAAGGATTTAGCAGTTTGCCCAAGTTTGTGTGTGTGGCCAAGTTCGATGGCAATGGAAATGTGGAAAAGGAATTTTCGACAGTAACAATAAGTGATGGCCGAATGTGTTCGCTCAAGTTCCTGCTGCCTTCGAGGATAAAGTTTTTAGGTGACAAAGGAAAAAGTTGGAAATTATTTGAAATGCTTTTCAAATGGCGAATGGGCGAAATTGAAATGGAATATGCACATTTAAGTCGAACTTATCTGAAAATAGTTTCCCAAATGCAATTTAAGAGTATGTGGCTTTGAATCTGAAAACTTTAGTTGCGACTAGATTTTATTTTTTTTTAGAAAACTTCTTCCCCGAAAAGCTTTACCTCTTCAAATTTCAGGGCGCGTGTCAAAAATTTCGTTTCCATCACTTGGAAAACCCTTCAGACTTCCAACTTGGCCAACTTTGGCGGCGCTGAGGGCACTAAGGAAAATTTGTAGCCAGTTATGCAAAGGAGGCCAGCAAACAAAACCGTCAAAAAAATAAGGAAAGGGCGCAAAGAATAGGGGAAAAAAACGGAGTCCCGTGTCAGCTTTTTATGCCTTTGGCCAAAGGACATGCTGGCAATTTTGATACCCAAGAAGGGGAAAAAGGGAGCATTTTCCAGGGGGGTAGAAGGCAGAGGGCAGAGGGCAATCGAGGCGACAAGTTGTTAAGTAAGCAGCGACAACTCAAATAAAAGGCCAGCGGAATGAGATCCGAGATAGTTTCGCTGCTCTCGGGGAGTCGGGGAGGTGTAAAAAGGCCATCAAAAAGCCCGGGCACTTCGGGAGATTTTTCTTAAAGTTTCCCGTAGTTTTCCCCATTCCGAG